CCTTTCCCCCACCTCCCCCTCTCCCATGTCCCCCCCAGAACTGTTGGTCCCATTGTTTTCTCCTCCAGATTGTTCATCCAGCCTATGTTATTTAGACAGACCTGTGGAGATAATAGCATGCACAAAAACAAGACAGCAAAACCAAGCAACAAAAGAAAACAAAACAACAACAAAAAGCCTGTAGTTAGTTCAAGGACTGTTTGTTGGCCTTTAGGAATGTTTTCCAGTCAAGTCTGTTGGGGCTCCAAGCCCTGACCCCAAAGTGTATTTTTGGTATTCCCTCGGGACTTTGTTAATCTGCTCCCCTTGCTGTTCGGTTGCACACCCTTAGTGTTTTGCCTCAGTGTGGTGGGGTCAGATGGGGCACAATTCCCACACTGTGTCTCCAGTGTTGTCCCCTGTAGAGCTATGGGTCAGAGGGATGTCGTGTCTTATAGTGGGGCTGGCTATATGGTCTTCTCTGTGGATTGGCTGCTCTGAGCGTGAATATCGTCCTCAAGGCTTGGTGGGCCAGGATGTGCTCCACTCTCTCTTCCTCCCCCTTCATTTGCTCTCTCCCATGTGCTCTGATCAGGCATGTCCCTCTCCCTGAGCTGCAGCTTCAGTGCTGTCCTCTGGAATAAATTCTTCTGAGGGGAGGCGGCTATCTTAATACGTTAACAACTTTTTTTGGTGATATAACTCACATACCATCCAGCCTGCCACAAACACATAGTGTGTTTTAGAACATTTCTATCTGTGCAGTAAGAAACCCCTTATCCTTTGTCATCTCCTTAATCCTCACTCTTCAGCCTTTGCCCCAAGTAACTGTTAATCTGTTTCCTGTCTCTAGATTTCCAATTCGGAACTTTGATCTGAATGGAATCATTGTGTGTGTGTGGTCTTTTGTGATTACTTCTCATGTGTTGTTGTTAGATGCCATCAAGTAGGCTCAACTCAGCAATGCTTTGTACAACAGAACAAAACACTGCCTGGTTCTGTCTATCCTCATAATTGTTATACTTGAAACCATTGTTGCAGGTGCTGTGTTAGCCCTCCTCATCGAGGGTCTTCCTTTCTCTCTCCGATCCTCCACTCTATCAAGCATGATGTCCTTTTCCAGGGACGGGTCTTTCCTCACGACAGGTCCCAAGTTCATGGTACAAAGTCTCACCATCCTTGATTCTAAGCATTCTAGCGGTTAATTCTTTCAAGACAGATTTATTTTTCTGGCATTCCGTGGTACTTTCAATAATTGCTGCCACCATAATTCATATGTGTGGTAGTTACACAATCTCATGTCAACTTGAGGGTGGTAAGAGTGAAGGGGTGGAGTCCAGCCTGTTAATCAGGTCACAGCCTGATGCCTCCTTGTGGGTGTGGCCTTCTAATGAGGATTCTGGGAATTTCCTCATTTCCTCCCTGGAGGCAGGGCACACTCTCTTTGTTTCACATTCCTTTTGACAAGCCACATGGAGCCACGATGATGGCAGCTGGAGCCTTGGAGATGTGTCCACTGCTACTGGATCCATAAGACTTCACCCACAGGCCTGTGATCTTCCTGCATTCAACATCATTGTGAGTGACTACATGAGTCTGAAGAGGAATTTATGGACTCGTATTGGACTTAGGGGCTAATATCGGACTTGTGGACTTGATCTGGACTGGGCTGGGTGGGATGTTGTCTATTTTCTTTAAATCACTTTATTGGGGGCTCTTACAGCTCTTAGCACAATCCATCCATCCATCCATCCATCCATCCATCCATCCATCCATCCATCATGTCAACCACATTTGTACATATGTTGCCATCATCGTTTTCAAAACATTTTCTTTCTACTGGAGTCCTTGGGATCAGCTCCTCATCCCCCACCCCCCTTGCCCCAAAGCTCTCTCTTTTACCTACATATAAGTGTCTCTGGATTTGTTTCTCTAGTCAACCCAGACTAACACAATATGTATCAGTTTCCTAGTCTTTCTTATTCATTGTCCAGCTTTCACATACATATAGGGCAACTCACAAACCCCTAATCTTGGGTGAGGTGCACCATCCCCTTCAAAGTGACATCTTTGTTCTTTCATACTTCACGTAGGTCTTTTGCAACAGATTTCCCCAATGCAATATGTCATTTAATTTCTTGACTGCTGTTTCTATGAGCATTGATTGTGGATCTAAGTAAAATGAAATATTTGACAATGTCAATCTTTTCTCCGTTGATCATGATTTCTATTGGTCCAATTGTGAGGATTTTGCAGTAGTTGATGATTTTACAGTACATGAATTAACATTTACCTAGTAATTAAAATTCATGAAGCATCATTTTACCTCCAATACTGCTGCCTTCATCACAGTAGCTGCTTTTCAGAGTAGCTGCTTTCAACACAACATCTGCTCTCTACACAGTAGCT